AATAGAGAATAGGTGACTGGGAAAATGCTCTAATCGTGATCCCAGTTACTTGTGAGTAGAGTTGTGGTATAATTGATATTTATTTGAACAGACTGTCTTAGTTGTTCACCTAGTCAACCACAGAGTCCTGGATGCACTAGACTCCAGTTTCGCTCTTACTAGAGCTCATCGGAGCTTATCATCGTCAACTGTGTCTCCTTCCGTCGCTGCCGGGTCAAATGAACTGACTGACTATCACTAAAACAACATCTGACCGAATATGATTTGGCAATTCGGTTCCGCCGTGGCATGAACAGGCTAGTACAGTAGTACCACGCACGCCTTTCATACAATGGGTTGGGAGTTCAAAATCAGGAAGGGACGGTGAATATGCACTCCTGATGAGCTACAATAAGAGCGAAACTCGAGTCCATAAGTGTATGGTTAACCGAATGAACAACTGAGGATTGTGAGTGAAGGTGAAGTCCAAGGTATAATTAGTTCAAATCAATTTGTAATCAGCTGAAAACAATACTCTCTGGTAAGAGGGTTCTAACGGTTCTATCAATGAAATCCTGCCTGGGGATGTCCTTTTTTTCGTCAAAAAGCGAAATTAAATTTCACAGGAACCGATGATCTCAATTCGGACTGCTACTCATGCAGTGAAAAAATTCGTAATTTCTATTGTTTGAATCACCTGTTCTCCAGTGTCTGTCATGTGAGAATTCTTTAAAATGCGGGAGTGGCCCCAGAACAGTTGTATCATCTTGTTGTTACAACTGATGCTCGCTTTTTTGTCAAAGACGTCTGCAGCAAAATAGAACCGCATTTTTTCCGCGTGCGTATTCCAGTGGAGAGTAGAGACATGAGGAACGAGCTAAAACGAGCGCTAAACGAAATTGCATAAAGTGACTAAGGTGAGTGATCCTTGAAAGATCTAGCATTGGTTGAATTAAAGAAATCATCTGTGTGCATTTTATTTCGGTTACTTTGACTAGGAAAACGGTTGTGTAACTAGCTGGGATGAAAAGTATCATGAGGTGTCTAAATCATTTCAAAATAGCTCTTTATGCCTGATTATTCCAATTAGGCCATAATGATCGTCCACGTATGTCTCAAGTGGTTGCCCGGTGGTAACTTCACCAAATGATAAACCGGGGAGCTCATGTATTGGAATCACATAGCTCCTGTGTGAATTCTCCAACTATTTGGTGTATGACAGCCCCGTTTGATTGTCCACCTCCCGTGTCCTGAAAATTACATCATTATGTATTCAATAAAACCAAGTAAAAGCGAAAGAAAAAAGGACTGCGCAACAAATCGGAATTTGTCAATATCTGTAGTGGACAACTTGCGTAACTGGGTTGTTTAATCTCATCGAGACTGATGGTAGAATTAAAACTCATAAAGGTGCATTTTTGTACCATGTACCTATATTCGAAATTAAAATACTTGCCAGAATGCCACCGGCCGTCACAGTTGACGGTTTGACTGTTATATTCTCAGTCATGCACAGGCTTTAAACAGTCCTGAAGATAAAATTTTGCGCTAGACTTTTTTCCCTATCCGTTTGTACTTTTCTATGATGAATTTATCGTGTAAATGGAGCAGCTGATTGGACCGTTTCTCACATCGAATATACACGATATAGCACAACCCATCTATGCCAGCTAGTTGCGAGTATCGGTTCTCAGCACTAGCCTCCATCGTAAGAAACGGTCCAACCAACTGCCCGGTGACCGAGTTGGTATTATGCTTGCGTTCTATCTGTGAGGTCCCGGGTTCGATCCACAGTTGGATCGATGGATTCGCTCACTGCTGATGAGACCCAACCAGATTGAAACAGCTGATCAGTGCTTCCCAGATTTTCAGTTCACGCCCCGTTTACACGATGAACTCTCCATATACATGTAGTTTGTTTTATCTACTGTACATTTTCACTCGCTGTTAAACATCCTCACCCTCGAGTGTACACCGCTAAAAATCGCATTCGGGTTGGCTCGATCCAGTTCAAATTGTTTCAGTTTATGCGCCAGATAGTAATTTGATGCACCGGATGTAGCCGGAAATTAGGAAATGATAATCTCAGTGATGTATCAACCGGGGAGTCATCTGTTCCTACCTCAAATCCCCCACGTCTCTTTATGCGTGGACTGAACATTATCCATTACCTGCAAACTGATAACACAATTGTCTACTCGACAAAAAGGAAGTGTAGAACAATTGTAGGGGAAGCTATTTGTGGGGCCTTAACTCCATAGTGCACACATGCAACCGGGTCGTGAAATATCTTTCGTTCACTTTTCTGCATACACCGGAAGTACAATTACACATCGATTTTTATACTTGTAATCGCTTGTATATGTGATATTTTTCTCCGTGTATCTGTCTGTCTGTCTGTCGTTCGGACTGTTTGACTATCTGTCAGAATGTGTTGATTTGTTCAAACGTTTGACAACTATTATCACTGAATTGTCTTATTTCTTGCGACCGATATATTAATGACCCAATGTGCGAAATGAGAATGGCGACGATGTACAAGTCAAAAGTGGATCTGTTTTGTTTCGAGGACAAGTTGTGCTAAACATCTTTACGGAGACGTTTAAGGTTGTTGACAGATGAAGAGCGGTTGATTTTTTACTTGGGGATGAGGCGGGCGGCGGGGGGATGCATGGTGTTTGTGTGTGTGTGTTACTTGTCAGGTGGTCGAATGTTGACGGATTCCCATTTCGTTCCGTATGGATATCGTGCTACTTCCGCTCTACACGTACTGTCGTCTTTGCGCTGTGATTTCATACACTTGGTTGCTGGTTCAGTTGCTGGTTCACTTGACCGTTGGTTTTCGTTTCCCATCATTGGTCGCTCGTCCACT